TCTATTTTGGAGGTTGTAACCTCTAACTCCTCATAAAGACGTTGGGCAGAGGAGAATTGTATATGATGGGGTTCAGCCGTTCCCTCTTAAATAGGTCATATGAATTTTGCTTGGTCATATGAATTTTGCTTGGTTATGTTTGATTTCTTCTTTTCCACGTCAGTTTTGTAATAACCTCCGAAAAAGAAGAAGAGCTCTTTTTATTTTTTATTTTTTTTCTAAAGAAATAGAAATATTAGACAATATGACCGTTAATCAGTTTCAATACAATCAAATAAAAGAGTTTATGGGAAGAAAGAAGCAGAATTATTGGACGACTGGCGTGGAAAAAAATAAAAACTGGGGGAAGTGAGAAGCAGAATTTAAAGGGGAAATCATTGTACACCACAATCATCATTTAATTTATCAATTTTTTTCATAATTATTGGTTTATTAAAAAGTTTTTAATTGATGGTTCGGTAAGAATAGCATTACTAAAGTTGGAAATATCAAATCAAATTCTCTGACTTTTTAACCATTAGATCTTTGGTCAAAAACAAAAAAAAAAATCAAGATTTAGCTGTTGAAAATCCTAGAGTATTCACCATAGAATATTTGTTAGGATGTGACTTTCACACATTGTTTTTAGCTTCTCACACCGCCTTTTATTTATAGTCACCGGATAACAAAATCAAGAGTCATGATTAAATAAAAGTGTGTAGAAGGCTAAAAATGGAGTGTAAAAAATCAATTTTTTTGTTGAGTTGTTTTGATGTAAAGATTTTTCAGTATGCCGAAAATACGACTCAGTAACTATTTATATTATAATACTTGATATACCGAATCGTGTTTTCACCACACTAAAAAATTTATGTTTTGATGGGGGAGGCATTCAACACCATTCAATATTGTACAAACAAGGAATTGAATACACACATGAAAAGGCCCTACCACCACCACCACCACCACCACCGTCAGCAAAACCCCATTTTCTCTCCATCTTCCATTTACTCTCCTTTTTTAAAATGTCACTCATCTCCTCTTATCTAAGTTGTAACTGGCCACCTATATATATATGATCTATCACATTATTATTAACGCTATCACAAACTTCACAACAAACATCCCAGATTTCCGATCGATACCAACCAACTTTGTAAGCTCTCTGACGGACGTCTTGGATTGGATCCTTCCAATGAAGTTGCCTTGTCTCTTCAAAAAGAAGGAAACAACAACGATAGCAGCCACATCGGCAGCGCCATGGCAGTACTGGCCCTCTTGCAACCACCCCAAGACGCTTTCCTTCCGAGCCCGCAGTGGCAGTGACAACATGTTCAAGACTGTCAACTCCGCCTTCTTGGATCCAGTTACGGAAGGAGGAGCTGATCAGTCTTGGTTCATAAACTCATCCTCCTCCTCAGATAATCAGTCAACAACCGGGTGTCATCATGAGGACGGAGAGGAGTCCTTGGATACGGTGGTGGTCCGAGGGGCAAGATCCGAGAGGCTGTTTTTCAAGCCGGAAGGCACGAGCTCCATGGTACAAAAGGCGAAAGGCGCCGGCGGAGGAGAGATGATGAATCCGTTGTTGAAGGAAAAGTACGTGCCGGTGTTAGCCAGCATGGAATCGGAGGATCCGTTGAAAGATTTTAGGAGGTCAATGGAGGAGATGGTGGAATGTCATGGGCTTAGTAAAGATTGGGAGGGTTTGGAGGAGCTGTTGGGATGGTATTTGAAGGTCAACCAGAAGAACAACCATGGCTTTATAGTGGCAGCATTTGTGGATCTCCTTCTTGCTCTTTCTGCTGCTGCAGCTGCTCCTTCTCAACATAATTATTATTATTCCACTTCTTTTTCTTCTGCCATTTCTTCTTTTTCTAGATCTTCTCCATTGTCATGTTCTTTTCAAGGTCAGGAGGAGGATGACATTGCAGAACAAGTAGAGATCACAATGTCTTAGCTATATTTATAATCCCCGTCATGTCATGTGAGGTCAAAATCTGTCAAAAGATAGGTGTCCCACGATCCTAATCCTCTATATCATTTAATCTAACATTCGTATAGTTTTAGATTGGGCTAAGAGCGAGTCCATCCGTTTTTGGAGGGCAAGAGCAAGGCAAGGGGGTTAAGGGCAGTGAATATGCTTTTACTATTTATTCTGAATAGTAATTGTCTTTGTGGAAGTCCATTCTTTTGTGAAGGGCAATGACACCATTCACAAATATATTTTGTATGCCTTGTAAGTTTGTTCTACGAAAATAAAACGGCTTTCTAATTTCAATAATTTATTTCAAATACAAGACAAAAGCATAGCATTATAACCCACCAAAGATGTTAAAATAATATTATTCTCAGTAGCTTGGACTTTGGAGTATGCTTTACAACGTATGGCAATAGTTTTGTATTTCAGAGTATGTTTCACAACGTTTCGACATTCTTGCTTTATGAATGATCTTTTGTTGTTATCAAGATTGAACCACATTTATGCTTGTAGTTGTTGAAAAAAGAATTGTGAAACAAAATAATAAATTACATAATACATTTGAAATATTTTAATAATAAAATGTTAGCACCCTATTTGATAGATTATTGCCACTTCGATAAATTGCTTCTGATCTTATGAGGGCCTACATAATAGAAATTGCTTGATCCAAGATGTGCCCTTAATTTGCTTGACAAATTGTGCATGAATCTTCGTCCATATTTGTTGCACCATCATCTCATTTTCATGACAAGGTCATGAGTAACACGCACTCAACACTTAAGCAAAGCAACGTCTTCCTTGATCAACTAATTGCCCTCTTACCCTTTTTTTTTTTTTTTTTTTTTTGTGGTAACAAAAGGAATTGGGAAGTAGAAAACAAATATAGGAGATTGTAGTAAAAAAAAAAAAATATTGGGTTATGATGTGGGGAATGAAGAAGATTGTTAGATATTTATAGAAAAAAAATTTTTGGGTATTTTTTGGTCTTTTGGTTTTTAATTTTATTTTTTATTTGTATTTTTTACCATTAAATTTATCCTGGTTGATTTTTAAACCGTTGGATGTCCCAGATTGCACCACATGGTAGCTGTAGATTCTTTTGCAAAATTTGTCTACCTTTGAAAATCCAGTGGTCTAAATCAAGGGCCCATTGGAATTCAGCGGCTGAAGTGCACGGATAAAAGAGCCTTTTGGCTCTGTGGCTTGCAAGTGGGGGGCCCTTCGTCTGTTGTTGACATCGTTGATGACATTGGCCATTGCCCACGAGCTCAAGTCCAGGAGAAATTTTTAGTTGTGACGAGAATAAGGATGGTACACCACATGTTTTTATGCAAGTGGTGGAAAATTTTAATTTTTAAGTTATTAACATTTTAAAACACATAACCCACCATTTATATAAGGACACGTGGTGTACTACCTCATATAACGGTCACACTGAAAAATCTCTCCAAGTCCAGGCGAGAATTGGCATGGCAGCCCAATAGGCTCTTGCCATTCCTCCAATTACCTCCTCTTTAGAGCACTTCCAGTGTAGGAAGGTCCCCCAGGGCAATTGGCAATTGAATCCCCTCCACTAAATAGTAATTGCTTTTAATGAACAGTAATTGCCTTTTGTATCTTCACCTCTAAACTGAATAGCCATGACAATAGGCAATTAAATATTAGTATTTTTTATTTTATAAAATAATAAAAAATAATTTTATTTGTAATTTTGGATAGGATTTTTAATCGGTTTGATTACGCCACGTGTTATTGTCTGAAAATACAATTTTTGGTGATAGATTTTGATAAGATTTTTATCCAATTCCATCACACCACGTGTTGTTACCTTTCTAGAATCGTTAAAGATAGATTTCCGATAAGATTTTTAACCAATCACGTCGTGTCACATGTCACAATCTGTTTAGAATATTTGAGTATAGATTTCGATAAGATATTTATAAGGTATTTATAGAAAAATAAAATCTTAAATTTTTTTTTTAAGATTTTTTTATTAATTTTTAAGATTTTTTATTAACTTAATTAATTTCTGCTGTTGGATTAAAGAAAATTTGAAACCTAACCCTCCAGATTGTGCCACGTGGCATAATAGTAACATATCAGATTTTTTTTCCTTATTAAAAAAAATTTAAATTCGAAAAACGTGGATAGTTGATCTAGAATCGAATGATTGAGATTGTGCCATGTCATCTAGCCATTGAGGGAGGTTTGAAAATTTTTTTGAATGTTGGAAATCCAACGGTCTAGAAAAAATAGTCGTTGAAATCCAACGACCTTGAGGGTGCCATGTGGCGCCCAGTAATGTTAACATATAAGAATTCCAACCGCGGGCCTCACTGCTTGAAATCTTGTTTGTGACGCGCCCCTACGCATGCGTGTTATACACGCGCTTGACACAAATTGTTTGTATAGCGTGGCTAACGTTAGCCTTGCATCACATAGCCCTTAAGCACTCGGGCCTTGGACTGCCGCCTGCCCTTTCCCACGAGCTCCCCCTTGGCCCAATTGCTCGAATGGGCTAGAGTAAGAAAGGGAGATGATTGGGTTGCAAATGGGGATAGTCCATCGGGCTCAACCTAACGGTAGAAGTGCTCTGAGTGGACGATAGGCGGGCCCTTTCTGAGGCCAAGGGCAATTTAACCCAATTGCCTTGTTAATTGGGCTACAGGTGGACTTACTCTAATAATCAACACTAAAAATACTACCAAGTCCCGTTTATTATTTGAGCATTATATTCTACAAAAATCACCAAATTCAAAATCATTTGACTGTGGGATAAATTGGAAGTTGTAATAGTGTTTCTTTGAAAAACCGTATTCATCTATTTTCTTCCCTACAATTGAATGTCTTAATAGTTTTGGAGTTATCAATATTTTTGCAAAATAATTTATAAATGATGTACTAATTATAGACAGTTTGGATTATTAAAAAAAAAGTTACAGAATGAGCAACACAAGGTGTCCCTCAACAAAATTATTTGAAGTATAACGAAATTATTTCATGTAGCAACTTTGGCGTATATATGTGGAATCCTTGATGCCGTAGAAGGTACGTACGTACGCAGTTGTCCGTCCATACAGTGTAATATATTTACAAAAGCACACAATGGTGCTGGTTTTGAGCTCTAACGTTTATGTTGACATGCCTTCTTAACAGGAGATAAATTGCAGAAAAACATTCACAAACCCAAAGGAAAATATTATACAAACATGAGTCTTAATTTGATATCCAAAGTCATTTTGTAGGCGTGGAATTAGGTGGATCCTTCCCAAACCCCATCATAACATGAGTTGCCAGCATTGAGCCCCTACGAGCCATTTCCAAAATCCGGCCAAGCAGCGGCACCTTCACCGTTTCTCTGTTTGAAAGAGGCTTCTTGTCCCACCTACACAAATTTCACGTACCATTTCAAACATCATCCAAAAATTTCTGTAAATAGTGTTGCAGATTTAGGAATGAGTTCTTGGTAACAAGAACTGCATCTCACATTGAACTAGAGATCTATGATCCACATCGGTCCTTAGACAGACTATACAGCTCTAAAACCCCATGCTTCGATGAATACTCACCACTCTTAAGGAATATACTGAGTAGCTCGGTAAAAAATTCAACGACATCTGTTCTGAAAGTAAATCCTTACGAACAACTTTCTACCTATATTCCATTGATGAAACTTTGGTTTACATTTATGCCGCATCTGCATGTTACTCATACAACTTACCACGCGGTCAGGTTTTTCTGTGCATTCAAGCTCTTAGCAAGTGTGCTATGTGCAGCCAGAGAGGGTGGGGAGAGAACTACCCTAAACAAAACTTTGGCTCTCAGACTACCTTGTTCTCAGGGTTTAACATCGATCATAAAACAAAATCGCATATACAACAGCATATTACACTGTATTTAAATGCATCTTACTCGATATCTATCATGCATTTTGCACATAACATCAGAGAATCAGAAGAAAGCATATTTTGCTCCAAAATTTGACTTAAAAGAAAGTATATTAGAGCTTGCAGAGCATACCAATCTTCATGGCGAACGACTTTTCCTTCCAAAACAGACAATTTGATGAGGGATATCATATCTATGTCTTTCCCCATGAACTTGTAGTGTTGCTTGTTATCAATCCATACCTGGACTCAATTGACAGGAACTTTTACTTAGGTCTTGTCACAACACAGTGACCCAACAAAAGCATATAGGTAAAAGATCAAACAGAAAGAAAATCGATGAGAGTTGCAAAAGTAATTCCGGACCTCGTGATTTCCAGGTGAAACCATATTTTCTTTGACGCTGTATTCCACAATTCTTGATTCACTAAAGACCTGAAATATAGGAAGGCAAATCATAGCTGTTAAAATGTGAAACAATACGTTCAACAGCAGTGATCACAAATTTACAGCAAGAAGAAAGACAGCAACGCCGTCATATTAACCGCCACACCAGAACGCTCAAACCAGTCATTCATGAAGAAAATACTATCTTAGCTTAAGCCAAATTATTCTTTGGCTTTCAAACCAAATCACTTTTCATTTCAAGCTAACCTACACTTTTATATATAAACGAACAATTCGGGTTTTCAGTGAAGCACTCTCTAATATAAATCGTGAAATTTAGTCCAAGCTAACCTTCAATGTCAATCTCTTTTTACAGTTGGCAATACACTACAAACCATTTGAACCAGAACAGGAAACAAAAACAAAAGAAACGAATCCAACGAGCCTTCGCATGCTCAAAGGCTCTAGCAATATCATGACATCAACTGTCACTGAATTTAAAAGATACCCAAAAGAATTTCACACGAGAAAAAAAAAAATGAACATTGTATTCCGCATGGAAACAGGACCTTGGGAAGTGAATAAAATGCCGATTTGATCTGTTTCAACCTGCCAAAAGACATATAGAGATAATGTAATGCACAGATTGCAAATTATAAATTCAGTCTGACAGAGTTAATGAAGCAACAAGATCTAGCAATGAACCAGCTTATTGAAAAGGTGATATATCCCATATACTGAGCATCGGTTGAGTACGACAAAAACAAGCTCATATTTTGGTGGAAGATTGGTCTACCAACAAGGAAGATACCCTCTAACTCTTCAAATTGGACGTAATGTTTCAAAAGCGAAGGCGAAGCCAAGGTAGTTTTATGGATAGTCCCAGTAGGAAAATGCTTGATTTCGTCACGAGTATACTAAGTAATGAAATTCTAGCATAGTTAATGTAAAAATTCCATATAAATTGACTGATGCCAAATTGCTAATACATACCCACGAGCGCACATCAGTGGGTCCTCAAAGGAAGCATTTGGAGAGTAGATTTCAAAGTCGGAAGGCGTTGCACAGGACCCGTATCTGAAATGATTCAAAACAAACTTGTCATCAAATTTACCGGGAAAAAAGGAAAAAAGAAATATAAAACCATCAATTGAATTCAATTTGATATGCAGGTTGTACAGGGAAATGATCACCTTGTAACTTTTACTCTTCAAATTAATCATGTTTTTCCCATTTAATTGATCATGCATGAAGTAAGCCATTTTTAGGATTGACAATGCAATAACTTGTACGAGTGTAAGGCTATATACAAGCATGAAAACCAGCTTTGTCTCAACATGCTAACAACAAAAGGGTGACCAAAGTCAACAAGGCTCCCTGCTTTGGGAGAGTCTGCGGAACCTCTACGCAGCTTTACCCTTGCTTTGCAAGTTTGCAAAGAGGTTGTTTTCACAACCAAGGTTCTAAAAGACGTTAGGCGCTAGTCGGGCGACGGGCTAGGGCCTAGACGGATGCCTAGGCGGATTTAAGTAGATCTATTATATTTCGTATAAATAAGTGTCTGTTTATACTTAAAATATATATAATTTCATCATAAACTACAAAATAGAATAACATATATATTATGAAGCATTGGATTATAAGAAAAACATGGGGAACAAACATATAATGTGTGTTCATTTAAGTATTCAATAAATCTCTTACAGTTTATTGAAAAAAATAAAATACAAAATGAAAATTATCTATTTTCTGTCTAAGTTGCAACCTAGGCGAGTCTGGACGGGTGCTAGGTGGTTTAGGAGGGTGTCTAGGCGCGCTTTCTTAATATTTAAAGGACTAAGCATTAATCGGGACGGTGACCAACTGCTTAGCGCCTAAGCGGCAATTTTTAGAACAGTGTTCACAACTCAAAGAACCGTGACCCTTCAGTCAAAACAGAGCAACCTTTCTGTTGCTAATAACCGATATGCTTAAATTCTCTGTTAGTGTAAGATGGTAGAGAGAGAGAGAGAGAGAGAGAGAGTGAAACTGAGACTCACAGTTTAAGAATGTGAAGAATGATATCATCATGAACAGAAGCTGAAACGCCGTCCTGCTTGCCTGAAATAAATTCACACTTGCCTTCCTTCTTCGTCTGACCCTGACTCCCTTCCTTTTCCTTTTCCTTTCCTTCATATATGAAAATTTGAGACCACGCGAATATGGAAATTCAAAAATAAAAAAAACCAGCAACGGAAGGAAAATTGTAGAAAAACCCACTTCAATTAGAGTCAGACAAATTAAAAAAAAAATAATAATAAAAGGAGAAATGAAACCTTGTGGATGCTTCTCCATGGCGAGCGATGAGAAGGCGAAACAGGTGAGGTGATAGTTTCAGAAGAACACAAGACTGAGAACTGAGAAGAAGAGGTTGCAGCGACTTCAGCCAACTCAACAAACAACAAGTCCTGGCTTCATGGCGCGCAACGTGGCCATTCCTTGTCCATTTCTCTCTTATTTATTTTGCCTTTTTATTATATATATATTTATTTATTTATTTATTGATGATACCTCGTATAATTCTTTAAATTTCGTTTTAAAGGACTCGCCTAATTGCCAATAAATCCAAAAATATGCAGTTTCACAAATGAAATTTTAAAATAAAGTAAAATATTTCTCTAAAGTTGTATAGGATGATGTATTCGTTAGAAATAGTGTCCTATATTTGAGCTTGCAGACACATAATGACCCGACAACAAGTTCACCTTCTTGTTTTTTAACCCGAACGATATTTAAAGCCAAAGTAATTCTAACATCTGAAGCATGTTTTATGCCCTTTATCAACTTTTGGTGTTAAAGAAGCATTGCATCCATCATTTTTCATCACTAATTTTGGAAACGAACGGTGAATATTGATTCTAAGAAATTAAAAGGTGAATATTGTTTATAAAGTCAACTATTTGGTAGGCTGAATTATCGAAGGCAAACTCATACATACGTTCACATTTAAGTAATAACCACCATGTCGTCATACAATTGATTCAAAATTTTTTTTTTTTATTAGGAACCTCGGCAGGTACGAGAGAATTTTATTGATATGAAAAAAAAAAGTTACGCTTAATCAGAGAACATAAACTTACCCCTTATAAAACAAGAAAACCAAATACGAGAAAAAGAGGAAGATATAAACCTTACTCTTCTTGAAAAAGAAAATACAGGAAAAGAGGGGGATACAAACCTTACCCTCATACAATTGATTTAATCCCAACGCTATGACCATATATATTTATATAGACAAATGACCATATATATTTATTTAGACAAACATACCATATGGAGGTTTTACTATATTTATACCACGGAGTGAAAAATTTACAAGTCACACAATAAGCGTGCTATAATAATTTGATTTGAACTAGTCATTTATGAAATTCGATCCTAAATCCTATTAGATAACAATCATCTGGAGTCTCCAAGGAAGAGAGCAACGTCCAGAAATAATGTCGATGACAAGTTTTGAATCGGCTTCAACAAGGATGTCTTTGTACTTCCGGTGGTGAACAAAGTTCAAAGTATCACGCATGCAACGCTGCAGCCTCAGCAATTGGGACAATGGTGTAACCTAAGTTTTGTCTCCAATTGAGGATTTCCGACCTTTTTTCTTTTTTATTGAATAAACAATATTATTCACAAAGGGAATGTGTGACATCACACATCGCTGAGGGGAGTGATCCTTAAATGTATATTCCCATCCCTACCTAACACGATGCCTTTTGGGAGCTCACTGGCTTCGGGTTCCGTAAGAACTCCAAAGTTAAGCGAGTGGTGCACGAGAGCAATCCCATGATGGGTGACCCACTGAGAAGTTGCTCGTGAGTTCCCAAAAACAAAACCGTGAGGGCGTAGTCGGAGCACAAAGCGGACAATATCGTGCTACGGTGGTGGAGCGGGCCCGGGAAGTGGTCCCCCCTAGGTCGGGATGTGACAATTTGGTATCAGAGCCTAACTCTGGCCTCGTGTGTGCCGACGAGGACGTCGGGCCCCCAAGGGGGATGGATTGTGACATCCCACATCGCCCAGGGGAGTGATCCTTAAATGTATATTCTCATCCCTACCTAGCACGAGGCCTTTTGGGAGCTCACTGGCTTTGGGTTCCGTAGGAACTCCAAAGTTAAGCGAGTAGTGCACGAGAGCAATCCCATGATGGGTGACCCACTGGGAAGTTGCTCGTGAGTTCCCAAAAACAAAATCGTGAGGGCATAGTCGGAGCACAAAGCGGACAATATCGTGCTACGGTGGTGGAGCGGGCCCGGGAAGTGGTCCCCCCCCAGGCCGGGATGTGACAATTTGGTATCAGAGCCTAACCCTGGCCTCGTGTGTGCCGACGAGGACGTCGGGCCCCCAAGGAGGGTGGATTGTGACATCCCACATCGCCCAGGGGAGTGATCCTTAAATGTATATTTTCATCCCTACCTAGCACGAGGTCTTTTGGGAGCTCACTGGCTTCGGGTTCCGTAGGAACTCCAAAGTTAAGCGAATAGTGCACAAGAGCAATCCCATGATGGGTGACCCACTGGGAAGTTGCTTGTGAGTTCCCAAAAACAAAACCGTGAGGAAATGGTAAGCCCAAAGCGGACAATATCGTGCTACGGTGGTGGAGTGGGCCCGGGAAGTGGTCCCCCCGGGCCGGGATGTGACAATTTGGTATCAGAGCCTAACCCTGGCCTCGTGTGTGCCGACGAGGACGTCGGGCCCCCAAGGGGGGTGGATTGTGACATCCCACATCGCTCAGGGGAGTGATCCTTAAATGTATATTCTCATCCCTACCTAGCACGAGGCCTTTTGGAAGCTTACTGGCTTCAGGTTCCGTAGGAACTCCAAAGTTAAGCGAGTAGTGCACGAGAGTAATCTCATGATGGGTGACCCACTGGGAAGTTGCTCGTGAGTTCTTAAAAACAAAACCGTGAGGAAATGGTAAGCCCAAAGCGGACAATATCGTGCTACGGTGGTGGAGCGGGCCCGGGAAGTGTCCGCCCTAGGCCAGGATGTGACAGAATGAGAGAGTATGTTAAGTCTCATAATAGGCTAGCAGTAATATAATTTAAATTCATCTTTGACGACAATTAAGCCTAAAACCTCTCACTTACCAGTAAAAAAATTTCCGATTTAACCATCTAAATTATTTAAGGTGGTTGACGTGGTACTACTGCACTACCTAATAATTTCTTCTCAATGATGCTTGTCCGATGGACATGGAAGAGTTGGGAGCTGAACACTCCAATCATAGACATATTATGACTGATGCAAAATTTGATACCAATTTTTTCACGTAAAATCATTTTGAAAATTAAATTGATGACAATTAAATTGATGATGTGGCAGATTTGGAATCCATTAGGCAGTACAGAAACATGCAAGCGTAGTTGGGTTTACAAAATCATTGGTATTCCTCAAAGAACTTTAAAATCTGCTCAAAAAATAACATTCGCCGACGGTGATGGGTTTTGAAAATATTCAAGAAAAGAGCCTAATTTGGTCTGAAATACGACAGCCCATTTATGTAAAATTACAAATATGCACTTGGAATGCCGCCGGGCCATAGGGACTATACAAGCATATGCAGAACAGTAGAAAGACTCCTCTTATTCAGTGTGCTATTAAGCACCAAACCAACATCTACAAATCTATATTTTTCATTTTCCAGATGGATGCCGAACTCATTACCTGCCTAAACATAAATCCATTGAAACCATGCAGGGATTTAGATGCCAACTTTCACCGGGAAAGGGCAACGAGCGTTCCACAGGGTACCAAAGCCGATAGTATACATCAGTTCGCAAAACCATCACAGAGCCAGAAAGAGCGAGAGACAAGTCAAATCTACCGCCTGGGCTCATTCACGTTCTTCCCCTCGAAGAATTCACCCAACATATGTTCGAGATCCTCCGCTGTGTATCTGACGTACTTTTGGGGGGTCTTCCCACCCTCAACAAGAGGCCTGTGAGACAAACAGAATATACAGATTTTGGAACCCATAGATGCAACTCACACTTGGACATATTTTGAGAAGGTGAAAATGAAAACAATGACACCTTTGAGATGATTTCCACGCCAATTAAAAAACAATAGTTACATATCATTCAGCCAGAATAACCGAAATGAATTATCGTCCTATTAGGTTCCGTAGATAAATAAATGAATAAATGATGAGAGTATCTACAGCATGGTGAGATAAGAGATGTCCTCCTTTGAAGCTCAAGACTAAGTCCGTGTCCAAATCTAAAAATAAAGTCTTTGGGTCTAGCGAGAAGTGTTTATAGTGGTTGTCGCCTCGTTTGGTCTCTAGTACTGCATTGGAATGACTGACCTCACTATATTCAACATAATAGGTTAAGGTGAATGATTTTTCATTTCACGGAATTACATAGATTACTCAAGAAGGAAACTTCTTCCTTCCAGTCCCCCAAAAATGGTAGGATTGGAAGGGTTAAGTTTCATTCATGTCTAATCTCCTTCTAATTCCCTTCAAATGAAAATCTTAAAATCATTCACCTTTATCTTCAACATCCTTTGACTATAGTGGGTTATTTTATTTCCAATCCAATCCTCGAGACCCAACAAGGACTTAACGTCCAGACTTCAGAGCCAGAGCATCAAGTTTGGTCTAATAAATTACAAGGCTTAACTGTCAAAATGGTCAATGTGATTTACCCATTTAGCCAAAGTAGTAGGTGTTTTCAATTTATCCAATTTGGTCTATGTATTTACATCTGTTAGGCAATCTAGTTTCTTTTCCGTTTCAGAAATTTTATTTTTCCTCCTAAAATTACTCTTTATAACACCAATTACAGAGATTTTGGCCCGTTTGACAATCATTTCAGTTTTTCAGTCGTAGTTTCCACTTAATGCTAGGAATAGAGGAGAAATATATGAGAGAAATGAGGGATGACCAAAGGCGGAGGCTGGGTGGTGGGAAGTAAGTGGAAGAAATGCAAAATAAACACTACAAACTAAAACCAAATTTTAGTAGGTTTTCATTTCTGGATTTTGTTTCCTACATTTTCCTTCACTTCTCCCTCCACCCTCCCTCTACCATTCATCCACCCTTCATCCCTCATTCCTACATATACATTCCCTATATCTCTATGCAGAAAAAAAATGAAAACTAAAATGAAATGGTTATCAAACGGGCCTCAATGTTTATGATTCTTAAAGGGATATATACAGGACATATGTTGAAAGCGCATGAAAAACAATAGAAGATGATGAAAACGCACCCATAACGTTTTAAGAATGATCTGTAGGCAGGCAATAAGACTTCAGCAACTGCAAGTCTTAGTGACTCTCGCAACTCAGTATCAGGAACTGTCCACTGTGATTGTTTTTGATGAAGCTCCTCAAATTGGATATTAAATGTCTTGAACCTGAACATTTCAGCTAGGTCAAAATGTTGATGACAAAGTAAATCCATGAATCGATAGATAATCAAATTTTAA